TTCATTTAGTTATGGAAAAATTTCTCCGCATTAATATGCTATGACACAATGACATTTTACAAGAGTCCCCAGCTAGAATAAATATGACACACCAATCATTCTTCAGGTGTCTATTTAAAGATGATATTTGCCTTGGCTGCAGCAGCATTATTACAGGATATCATACTCCATACATACAGCAGTTGCTAAAGAGAATAATTCAACCACAAAACTAAACTTTACAGCAATCATTATTTCGTAGAGTAACGGAGAGATTACCTTTAAGTATGTCATCGCATAGAGAATGTCATGAGAATAATAATAGCAGTAATATCCTTACAGCTCCCAGCCAAAGTACAAAGTTCATTGTTATTCCTGGAGAATGCACATTTTGATTACCATCTTTGGTTTATAATGTCATAACACAATTGCATTTCACTTAGGATTTAACTTTAGTGCACCTCCTTGCCCGTCCAAAGACTTTCTTGCCCCGGGTATCCTCTGTGTGTGTTTTGTATGAAACAAACGGCCCAGAGAGACAGAAAGACATTCTGAGTCCCCGATAATATGCGGCAATGTTGTGTGCGGCAATGATGACAAAGCTTATTTCATTATAAAACGTTCATTATCAACATTAGAATTATTATTAATAATGTCGTCGTCAACAGCAACAACAACAACAGCCACATCATTATTGCTCATTATGTGCTGTGCACTGGTGGATTGCATTGTTCGGGGGGGTATTCCCTAAACGAAAATGTTGAAAATGTCATTTCGAGTAATGTTGTTGAAAGTTTGTAGTATGAACATAATGACAGGGAGTAGAATTGGGTATATAAATTATCATAATTGTATATTCATTTATACTTCAATGAAATTATAATGAATGTGAAATATTTTCTAAGGAAAACGTTTTTACTGCATGCTTTTTACTCCGAGATTTTGAAAAAATACAACTTTTACATTAAAATGTTGGGAGAATGTGTCTGTAATCGACTCTCATTATTAATGCATTTATTTTAAAGTTGTATTCCTGAAGGTGTAATAAAATTTGCCATTATCAAATTAAAATGATTTAGAAGAATAAAAATATTTGAAAATGAAAAGAAAAAACTTCAATTTTGAAAGTTCATTGGCCTGGTTCAGTGAATAATATACAACGAAACCACAACTAAATAATAAATCTAAGAAAGAAATTAATACGATTATTTTAATGCCATTTTAATACGAAAGTGGTAAAAATATCTCTAATCTAAGTAAACTAATGAGTATCAGCTGATGGTGTTGTACAAGCCCTAATGCTTTCAAGCAAAATGATAAGGTGGCAGACGTAGACCGAGTAAGACTCGGATCGTAAGCTTTAGAGCCTTTAGATTTGAATTTAGAAATAATATAAATGAAATCTATGTTACATTTCATATGGACATAATTTGAAATATTTTAATTATAATACGAGAATTACCATTGAACTTATAAACAATTCAATTGTATTTTAATTAATCCATTTGGCATTCGATACATTTTATTCGAAATTCAAATTGTTGTTTCAGATGTCATTCAAATAATTTTAATTGTAATTTGAGAATATGGATTTGATTTAGATTTTTTTTTAATTGGAATGTTTAACAAATTTTATTTGTAATTTGAAACATTTCAAATTGTTTGATTTGCAATTAAAAGCATAATAAAATAAAGTTATTCGAAAAAAATATCAATTGGAAATACAATTGGCTTGTTTTTAATAACAAATTAAATCATCGAATTGGAATCCTCGAATAACAAATATAATCTTTAACTGTTTGAATAACATCCGTCGAATGTGTATTTGTAATTCGAATGTTTACATTTGTAATTTAAAACCTATAAAGAGGTATAACAAACCCAAATGCTTCAAATTTCGAATGCGATACATTGAATTGATAATGACATAGTTTAAATTTTAAATCGAAAAATTTGAATTTCGAATGAAATTATTTGAGTTTTTAATGAAGTATAAATAGAGCTTCAAATTAAATTATTTGAACTTCTAATGAAATTATTTGAATTACGAATGAAATAATTTGAATTTCAAATGAAATAAATAAAATTTCAAATAAAACAATTCAAATTGCACTTGAAAGGTTTAAACATAAAATTTCAAGTATAATTTCGCATTATCGAATGTAATATACCTATTTTTACGGTTCCATAGAATGGTTTTAAAGGTGAAAATGAAATGTATTGGACCTACAAGGCCTAGGCAACATAAAAATATAAGATGCGTTACGAGATTTAGTCTTAAAAATAGAGAAATAATCGAGGTGTTGAAACAATTTTGCGGAAATTCCGGAGGGAATATATTGAAATTTTGAAAAATGTTGACCATTTTTGGGAAGGTATTAAAAGGAGTGGAGCGACAAAATTCGATTTTTAAATTCAAGGAATGTTCAAAAAATCGGAGATTTTCAAAATTTTACCATTTGAAAATGTGCCCATTTTTAAACATTATTTAGTTTTGGTAAAAAATATTAGGTTGTGTAAAGTTTGCACTATATGCCAGAGATTCTATTTTTTGGCCATAATTAGAGCAGTTTGTTTCTGAAATAAATAAATATCACATGCAAAGATTTCGGTGATGTTAATTACGATTCTGCAGAAAAAAGTAACAACAGGGTAAATCCCAAAAATACCGAATAATGTGGATTGAGTTTATAAAGAGCCTAGCCCGAAAACTAAGTCAATATTGAACGATAATTTTACAGTTAGAAAAATTAATAAATTGAGAATTAAAAATACAATATTACAGGCAATTTCGTTGAAAAACGCGCACAAAATACCAAAATAAGGTGGGTACTATACAATGTGAACCCAAAATAACAAATGACATCCAATTGGTTTGAAGGTGTGACTTCTAATTTTATCATCAGATTAAATATATGGACTTTTTGTCAAAAAAAAAAAAAAAATGGATTACTGGCCCATAGTGATGAGGTGCCAGTAAGAGTCGTCTGATGTTCTCTACCTTCATATTTTATTTATTTTTGGAAGATATATTACGATATGCAAAGTTTGGATTAAATCGCTAAACTCCTTTCATTGCCAGGCAGGCATTTACCAGCGGGACTTAGTTTTTTGGCATGATTCCAGTTGGCTCACGTCAACATCAATAAATCTAGTGTTTAAATTAATTAGTTATTCTGCATATTTTCGTATATTCATGTTACTTACCCTTCTCGAAAGTTTAATGATCTTTATATAAGTATAACATAGCTCTCTTATGATAAGCAATTAGAGGTACCAATATTTAAAATGTTGATAAAGATAATATCGTATTTATAAATTATGATGATTTTTAACAGCCGAATCAAATATGTTTCACAAACTTTATTACAATACGAAAACAAATCGAATACGTATATGAATTTATTCTTTACATATTTGCCGCCCTATAATTGATAAATCTGATTAAAAAACCTTTATATAACATTTTAAGTAATCCCCGCAGATATAATACACTTATCTGAGCGTTTTTTCAATCACTTCTAAAAACGACTATTTGGTATAACAGGTAAATATAGTAGTTGGGGCCAAAAATATGCCGAACTTTTAAATCGGCCAAACATATCAAAATACATGTGTGACAACAGGGATAAGGAGTTATTTTTAATCAGACCTCGTATATATATTTATAAATGGACATATCGCAACTAATTCCACATTCGAAAGCTGCTTTAATTGATTTCGAAATATTGATTATTTAATTGTTTATATACATATACAAAAATATATAATTTAATATTTCGAATATTTATCAGCTAACAGGAAATAACATAGTCTAGAAGATGTTATATTTGGTCTGTTCCAGTACTTTTTTAATTTTCAAAATTGCTCTCAGAGTACAAAAGCTAGTAAATATGCCAAAATTATATGGCAATACCTCAAAATCAATATAACAGCCAATCAGAAGTAGGCATTCCTTTTTACCATTTTTACTCGGCCAAATTTCTCGAGTAAAAATTTTACAAAGAGAACGCCATTTTGTTTTGTGCTCTCTTGAATTTGAGTCAATGTTTTACCAGTTTTGTGGGTTGAGGAACGTTTTTCGAGTAAAAAGTTGCAAAACATGTAAAATCAGTAGATTCTTTTAAGTTCTGGAACGGAGCTATTATGTATTCTAGAGACTATTGGTATGTTCCCGTACTGCAAAAATCTACCACTTTTTACTACGATAACGAATTTTCCTTTATGATATCGAAGAAAATAGTAAACTGTGGTAGATTCTTGCAGTACGGGAACAGACCATATATAACAATAAAATTTTATTTTCATATTGATAACCAAAAATTCCCCTTTTGATATTTGAAAAAAAAAAGAATCGATAAGTAATGTATCGAAAATCAAATCTTAATCTCGAGTAAAAGCTTAAAATTTTTGCTAAATTTTAGAATAATTTCAAATTTGATTATAAGTATCTAAACATTCCGCTACAAATAATTATGTATGTATTTACAAATATCAAAAATATATTGAAAATTAATAATAATAATAAATCCTCTATTTGTAACTAGCGTATATAAATTTAAACAATTAGAATTGCAATTGTGAATATATGAAATGAAATGGGCATAAGTGGTAAAATGGGCATAATAAAAATGATACTAATGGGTGCAATTGTTGCAGTGGTAGTGGTGATGATACTGATGGTGTTGGTAGTGGTAGTAATGTCATGATAAGTGCAATATTGTAAAAAAAATATATTTCAAATTTTCCAGCAAAAAAACTAATCAAGGTGCCAAAATAAAAATTGTGCCAATAAAATTAATTTTGTGTAAACTAATTTGCTTTGTATTAAGTGAGTAAGTGGTTAGGTAAGTGGTGCTGAGTAAGTAGTAGTAATTTGCTTTGATAAGCCAAAAAAAAAAAATAACAACTAAAGTATTCTTATATTTTTGATTTCTAAAATGATTACTGTGATGAAAATTATGTTCATGTTCTAATTTGTTGTTTGTTTTGTTTTATTTTTGATTTTGTGTGATAATCACCTCACTTATTAGGGGTTCCGCTAAATGATTATCGGTAACACGGGTCATAACCGTTTCCGTAAATGTTGACTTGGTAATGGTTTCGGTAATGCGACCCAATTCGGTGGGAGCTGCTGGGAACATGGGCATATCGGGAACAGCCTTATTGACGGTCACAGTAACACCAGCCACACCCACTTCATTCGGCCGTGCCACATGCACCTGATGCTGGGATCCACCACTGAGGAAGTGTGCCGGTATCATTGCCTGAAAATCTTCACTCGTCAATGGCCGTAAAGGTGGTGGCTGTTGGGTGTTTTTTGATTTTGAGTGTTCAGGGATTTTTTTGTTTGTTTTGGAGAAAGGTGGGGGGATTTGGTGGTTGTTTAGTTTTTTTTTTTTAATGTTATCAGTAAGTGATGTTCATCAACCGTATTTCAAAGAATGACAAAATATTTGCATATATATTTTTTGTTTTGTTTCGGTTTTGTTGTTAATATTTTGTTATTTATGTAAGTTGTAGTTTTTGTTTCGTTTTTAATATTGTTATAATAAATGATATTTATGTATATAAAAAAGAAAGAGAAAAAAGAAAGAAAAATCATTTGTTTAGATTTTGTGTAATTTTTGATTAAATTTGTTTGCTATTTTGTTTAAATATATAAATAAACTTAAAGCTAAAAATGTTATAATAACAAAAATATTTTTAAAGCAAATTGTTGTTGATCTTAAATCTAATAATAAAAAGGCCTATTATATTTTTTGCATTTAATTGCAATAATAAAGATAATTTTTTTCTCATTATCAAAAGCCAATCACATTTCACTCGAACTCAATCATTTGTATTAATTATGTAAATTTTTATTGCTGTCATGTCGTGTGGAATAGCAATTTCCGGATCAGTGAGGTTTTATTTCATTTTTAATATTTATTATTATTATTGTTTTTTGTTTTGTTTTAATCAAATGAGAACCGGTAGGATGTAGAAGGCAAGTGGATAACATAAAAAATATTTATTAAAGGGAATATTAAAAAAATAAAATAAATAATAATAGTATAATTTCCATTTTTTTTTATTTTGACAGGTATCACCTTGCCTCTACTTTATAATAATTTTTTGCCAAAGTACAAATACACAAATTTTCCGTTTAGGATTAAAAATTTAAGGTGGTAATGGTTTTGAAAACCATGCGGATTTGGTCGGGAAAAATGCAAAGACCTTAACTGAATAATTACTGGAGTTCTTAGGTAATAATTTTCGTCTATCAAGACTCCTGCAAACATATGTTCATATTTTCGAAACACAGGAACCAGTGTTTTCATGTTAGATCTTTAGGATATCCTGAAATTTATAAAGAAATATATGGAAGCAATTTTTTACAAAAAAAAGAAAAGAAACTCCTTAAAAGGCCTACGTTGAAACCTTGGAAATTTTGATAACACCTGTCAAAGATAAGACCTTCTTGAGAGAGACATTCCTGGGCATATATTCCACCAGGAATATATGTTTCTTATTAGATCCCTCTAAATTTAGCAATCGCCCAAAAAACGTTCAATTGCAGCATAGATATTTTAAAACAATTAAAAACGTCGTTAAGTTCGACCCATCCGAAGATTGGACTAGGAATTTACATATACAAAAAAAAAAACTGGACCTTTGAATGAAAGCTATTGAAAAATATGGACCTACATAGGAAATTTTTCTGGAACGACGCTGTTTATTCTCTAGGAATATTGAATATCAAATTGCAGTCTAAAAGGGTTAAAACCCCCGGAAATAGGGCTCAATCTATAAATTTCAAATATCGTTCTATATCGAAAAATTTTTGTTTTCAAGAAGCACAAATTTCAAATGACAACCTAAAATAAAACAGGTCTTTTATATGGAGGCTATTTCATATAAACATATGAAATAGCCTTCATATAAACATATGAAATAGCCTACACGACACCACTCCAACAGGAGTGGTGTCGTGTTCCAGTAGGATAACGCTAGGTCACACACATCTACAGTGACTTGCCAGAAACTTCGGAAAGCTTGGTTGGGAAGTTTTAATGCATCCGTCATAAAGTCCGGACTTGGCACCAAACGACTATTTCATTTTTCTTGCATTGCATATTTCTCTAATGATGAAAAATTGGTATCTAGAGAGGATTGTGAAAATCGACTACCAGACTACAACAATTCATTCAATAAAACGGTGCATATTTGGCCCAAATCTAACATTCCGAAGCATGTTAAATAAAGTCCTATAGTTCATATACAAATAACTCATTTCTTTTTCTCCAACCTAATATATTTATCACCCTCCATGATCACGGAAATCGTGGAGGATGATTCGAATTCGAATATGCGATTAAAACCTTTAACGTAAATACGCCGTTTTGCACCGCCGAACATTTATTTATTTTTATTTATTTATTTATTTATTTTTTTTTTTTTTTTGGTTGAACTGGTTATGTGGGACAGTTATGCCTAAGTGGTACTCCAAAATATATCTTCATCAGATCATCGAAGAAATTTGAAAACCGAAGAAAAGAAGATAAAAATATTTTGGATATCGACTCAAACCATTGCCACTTTGGCCGGTAAAATGGGACATTCGTCATGCATGGGAGATCCGTTATGGAATCAAATAGCATCGAAATATAGGGCGGGACCTTTGAAATATAAATACTTAACTTCGATCGAGGCTTTCAGGAGAAGGCTAAACATCAAACTTGAGACGGTCAGGTTGTGCTTGGGACTTGAACATACAAAAAATGACGGGTGACAGAGCTGCATAAAAACGGACATCGATATTGATAATTTTTAGTAGTGAAACTTGGCATCAAATAGACCGAAGTACTTATAATATATGTGCAAAATTTCAGAGCTCTATCTTAAATATTGTAGTCTGAACAGTCTTCGACAATTATTTCAAGGTGTACAAACGGATGACAGGTTGGACTTTTATGCAGAGGTTTTGTCAAACATTCGGTCCGAAAACTAGGACCGTGGAAATATCTAGAATGATACGGGGCCTTCTAAAAACATGGACTCATATTTTTATACCCGACACAACTATGTTGTCAGGGTATTATAGCGTTGTGTAGCTCCAAGAGTTTGTAACGACACGAAATATTGGTTCTAGACCCACTTTTTAGTACACCGATCATATGTCGATCTATACATGTGTGTCCATACGTCTGCCCATTAAAATTTGTAAACACGATACAGGCCACAATTATGGACCAATTTTCATGAAATTTTGCATGTAGGATGGGTTCTGACCAATGAAGACCCCTATTGTTTTTGGTAAAGATTGATTAATATTTAGGGGATGAAATATGCCAAAAACTTTTTTCTTATCGTTCTTTTCTGGTCGCTCCAGGTGCCACAATTATGGCCCAAACATCGAATTTTTACATGGAGAAGGGGATCAGACCAAAGAATAAGCATGCCTGTTTTGATAAGTATCGGTCAATATTTAGTGGGCCAAATACACAAAAAGAACTCAAAATAAATTAAGTATAGTCAGTACAATCAATGTGATTGGAAAACGTGTCCATAATCATTAAAGTATCGAACGTTGTAGCTATTCATTAATATTTCGAAAATTGTGAAGATTTGAGGTGGATGTTCGAGACGTAATGGACCTATGGTTTGCGGAGGTCTTCGAAATTACACACAGGTTTTGTTTTTGGCTTTATATAAAGTATATGGCTTTTGGTTTGGCTAAAATTCGATAATCGGTTCGCATGATATTATAAAAGTAGTATTTAGGTCAATTTTAAACATTTTATGGAGGAAGTATCAGAATGAATGGACCTATATTCCCCATCTACGGACTTGAACTAAGTTTGTAGGAAATATTTCGATTTGCAAATTTTGGATAAAATCGATTGCTCTATTCGAGAGTCATTGTGTGCACCAGCCGGCCAGGCAGACAGACGGACGGACGGGTATTTGTAAATCGAATCCCAATTGCCTGAAACGGATTTGGTCCAAAGAAACATGGGGTCTAAAATCAATATTTCGATGTGACACATTTTTGCCATATCACAGTCTATATACGAGGGCAAGTTCGGAAAGTTCTTAGCCTAGCACAAAAAGCGCGGTATAAAAAAGTAAAAGTGTTTTGGAAACTTTCATCTCTGTTATGAACACATGTTAAATTTTGTTTCGATCTGGAGTTATTGCGTGCACCAGCCGGCCAGGCAGACACACGGAGGAACGGATATTTGTAAATCGACATCAAATTGTCTGAAACATGGGGTCTAAAATCAAAATGTCGATGTGACACATTTTTGCCATATCATAGTCTATATACGAGGGCAGTTCGGAATATTCTTAGCCAAGCACAAAAAGCGCGGTATAAACAGAACATCTCTGTTATGAACACATGTTAAATTTTGTTTCGATCTGTTAACGTGCGCACGAGCCAGACAGACGTACTGACTATTGCAAATCGACTCGAAATTATCTGAAACGGATGTTGTCCAAAGAAACATGGGATCGAAAAGCAATATATCGATATTCAATATTTCATATAAAATATTTCTCCGGCTAAGTTTACACAATTTTGAAAATCATTATTTTTCCAAAAATATATTAGTATTTTTTTGTAATTTAAATATCAAATTTCCCCTCAACACTTCACTGATCCGGTTGAAATTTTTTTCACACATTGCTAATACAGTGAAAAAATCAATAACTAAAAAAATCACCTACAACTAATAATAAAACTAAAGCATTTCAAAATAATCAAAATAGTTGGAAATTAAAAATTATGTTGCTACACAAAATAATATTTAATATGTATTTAAAATATTTGCAAATTAAAAAATAAATAAAATAATAAATAAGAAAACACATAACACTATTATCATTGCAATTATAAATATTATTATTATATATATGGATTATTTGTTATTGTAATTATGTCGACAGCAACAACATTCTTTCCATATTTCGGAAATATGAGAAAATTACAAAATTTTAAACACAAAATGCAAAAAAAGCAGCAGCAACAACACACAATTCAAGTAAATATGTGTAATTATTCAAAAAATGCAAAAAGAACTGAATAAAACTAAAAATATTTTTAATTGAAATAATTGTGTATTTTTGGGAATTCGGAATGGCGGGAGGAGTGAGGATAGAGAAATTGGGATTTTTTCAACATTTTGCATTAAATAACAGACAAAAACACACAGACACTGACATGCAAATATAACGGAAAATAATGTAAACCAATAACAGCATCCGCATCCGTAATAAATGATATGGAATGAAATGATTGTTTGGGGGGTTAGATACTCTCCAATTACAATTGAACACAAATTATCACGCACACACACACATGTAGAGGAACAGAGACATATCAATATAAAAATATTAAAACACATGAAAATAATTGATAATGGAGGAAAAAAAGAGGCCAAAGGGTTAGGTTAGTTAGACATGTTTTGATGGAAAAATCAACCAAAACAGCGGTCATCAAAATTCCAACGAAATAAAATTATTCAAATGTGTGAGTGAAACTTAGTATCTTTCGTGTGTTATATGAACTTCTATTGATTTTCATAGTTCATTTGATTAGATGTGTGTTTATTTGTTTTATTTTATTAGCCCCACCTTTTGGGTTGATTATTATTCATCCTCGGTATGGGGGCATCAATTATTTACGGAAATGTAATATTTAGTTGTTTTTCGAGATTTGGTATCCGAGAATTTAGTATTTCCGTAATAGATATTTTAGACAAATTCAAACATACATTTAATTTTTGGAGTGTGAAATGACCAAAATCAGGAAAATCATTTTCCTGTTACTGCATTGCAAAAGGAAATTTTCAAATTTTGATTATCATCATTAGGAGTATTTGGCGAATGTAAATTATTTCATGTTATTTTGTAATGCTCGAAATTACATCAGTAAATAAGCTCAAAGACCTGATATCGAAAAGCCACTTGATTGATTCCATCAGCTACAGATGTATTAGTTTTATAATTAATCTGAATATAATTAATGTGGACAGATATATACCCTCCTCCTCATATGATAAATATATCCTGATCCTTTTCGTAAAAGGGTAAAAAATATAACGATGTGAAAAGTTCGCTTGATATTAATTTACTCATTGACACTTTGTGAGGGAGGTATTGGAAGAAGTGAACAGACAGATCCCTACTTCCGACTTCCTATAGATTTGGTGAAAACATTACTCGCCTTATATTGAATTTTCAAAATATTGACACTTTATAGGGTATGCACCTGAAAAAGTGGTCCGATTGGTCTCCATCCTCAACCATTTTATAAGCTTGATTAAAATATAATGTTGTGCAAAGTTTGATTCAAATCAGATATATATTCCATTCCGCATTATATTATAAATATAATTTTCAGCAAAATGCCGACTATTTTCTGGGTAAGGTTCGAGAAGAAGTGGGTCGATATTCACCATCTTCGAACGAGATTTAAGTTTGTACAGCTTGGAAAATATTGCGCAAAGTTTCTGCGGAATTGGTTACTCCCTTAGATATTTATCTTGTGCTCCTGCCAGAAAGTTAGGCGTACGGACGGATATCTTTAGGGACCCCCCTAAATATCGGCTCCAAAAATTGACTTTTTTCTTAAAAATTCTGGACTCTACCTGACTATTTTGCAAAAACAAAATTCTGAATATTTTAAAAACTGTTGAAGATTTAATCCATCTATTGTGTGAGCTACTGGTGACAGCGAAAGCATTTTGAACACTTTAATGTGTTTTTCTCGAAACAGTGTATTTACGAGTGGCCTGAACGATAACGCATAAACTATTAATCAATCGATTCCAAATTATGACATGTTATTCTACATATGAACAAGGATAAATCCAATCGATGAAGATCTTCCCTATTGTCCAGCTTGGGTTTCGGTCGGAAATTGGTGATTTTACAAAAAATAATTGTCATGGGTCCGCCATTTTCTTAATTCTCGAGAGATATGTAGCCTTTCTAATATCGTTGGAATTTTGAGATTCGTATGCTCCAGAGTCGATGGATGCAAAAATAAATTTGAAACTAGTTAAAATTCGTCAAGTGCCGGTCCGTACTAATTATAGAATCTACAATGAGGAGGATACTCAAATTACATAAACTCGATCGGGTCATTTATTCGAGGCTATGTCATGGTAAATTGTATAAAACGACATATCAAATTACAGTCACTCACTATGGAAAATTAGACTACGCTCTTGAACATACCGAAAACGAACCGAACGGCCTAAAAACGAGCCTGAAGATTTCGGAGAAATTGAAAAAATTAACAAGAGAAGACGGAAAGTCGGAATCTATCGGTGGGTCCACACCCTGGAATTTTAAATTTATTGGAAATTTGGACGTCGTAATATTTTTACCAACCAAATTGAAAACATCTCCACAGTAGATTGTCCATGATTAGAAAAAATAATTTTCAAAATTAAAGACACTCATGTTGGAAAACTGGGTAAGAATTTGCAACATACAGATTTTATGTGGGGACTGCACCAAAACACGGACCAATATACAAAAATCAACAAAGATATTTTTCACCTCCCAAGATCACGAATTGTCGTATTGCAGTCACTTCAGTGTGAAGTTGCAACAATGTCCTAAAATATTGAAAATGCAGCTAAAATATACAATATATATCAAAATAAGGCAGGGCATCCTATGTAGAATATTTTCTGAAATAATGCCTGATACTTGGGTTGGACTTATATAGAGCATAGATCAAAATATGGACCTATATGGAATATGTTCTGCACATATGTTTTGTTCAACCATGCCTTAGGATAGATCTTGAAAAATATTTTTAAAGGAATAAACGCCTGTTGACAAATTTTTAAAATTCTTTTCAAAAATTCACTTCAAGAAACCAATTTAAAGAAATAATTGAAAAAATCCCCTTCTATGGATGGACATTGAAAAAATATTTAATAAAAATTTACAACTGTGGTCAAACCTTGAAAAAATATTTTTAAAAAGCCTAGGCCAAGGAATGCACTTAAAATACTTTTTAAATCTTATACTATGAATGGACCTTGAAAAAATATTTTTAAAAAATCTTCACGAAAAAAAAACTTAAAATAGGTCGGGACCTTTATATTAGGGTATGTCAGAGCATAGATTTATATACATGGATAATTTTCTGAAAAAATATATGTCAAATTCCGAAATGCTGAAAAACTACTCCATAAAAAATTCAATCCGTAGAACATATTTAAAAAAATTCCGAAATGCTGAAAAACTACTCCATAAAAAATTCAATCCGTAGAACATATTTAAAAAAATATTTAAAAAAAAACCCTCTACTATGAATGGACCCAGAAAAAATAGTCAACACAAACTGCACCTGTGGTCAGGTATTAAAATATATTTAAAAAATGCATGCCTGTGGATACGCTTTGAAAACTATTTTTTTAATAATCACGCATATAAATAGACCTTGACAAATATATTTAAAAACCACCAAATCATATACTATGAATGGACCCTGAAGAAATACTTTTAAAAAAATGTAGATAGACCATGAAAAAAGTTATTTCAATTTCAAGAACAGGAAAAAAACTTAAAATAGGGTATGTCAGAGCATAGATTTATATACATGGATAATTTTCTGAATAGATATATTACAGCCCCTTTTACAGCCCTTTTAAAAAAATGACTCCATGGAACGTACTTAAAGCAATATTTTAAAAAATTCTGAACAGATATATGGCAGCCTCCGGAATGCTAAATTGCAGCCCTTTTGGTTGAACATTTCGGATAAAATTTTAAAAATACCAAAAATGGGCGGAACCTTTATATTAGGCTATGTCACAACACGGGCGTATGTTTTCATTTTATTAACTTTCAAAGATGGCTATCGCGGTATACCTCCTCCAAATGTATGTTTGAATTTGTTTTTTAGTTTCTTTATGAAGTTTATAAGTTTGTATTATTGTTTTTTAAATTACTATTCAGTATATACTTTTAAAACTGTGTTGCCTTCTTAATTGAAATCCTAAAATGATGTCGAAATGCATGATGAATTTTGCATTAATAATTTCACAAACGAAAAAATAAAAGAAATGTTTGAGTGCATGATTATTGTGGCTTTAAACCGGATGTAGAAATTTTCAAATTAGAAACGAAGTACGACAACGACATTAGAGCAGGAGAATGCGGGCTATTACACTTAAACTTAAAGACTAAACAACAAAACGGACAAACAATAAAAAGGACAAACAATTATAAATGTCAAACTGACAGGCAAACCTCTGGATGGAGAAGAAAACACCTACCTGAGTCTCAATTGGATCAGCGGTGGCAGCATTGGCATTAGCCGTTGTGACTGCATGAGGAGGGAATGTACCATTTTGATGCGCTGCACCAGGAGATGTTAATGCCTTTGATGTTGGTGGTTGTTGTTGTTGCGTAGCATTTAATGCTGGTGATGTGGTTGTTGTTGGAGCGACTGTTGTATCGGTGCTTGGGCCATCACCCAGTGGTATGGAATTAGAACGTCTGGGTGCTGGCACGGGTAAACCTGTTACTTTGTCAATTTGTTGGGGTTGCATCACAGGAGATGTCTGCTGTTGCAGCTGCTGATTTTGTTGTTGTTGATGATGAACTGTTGCATTGGCAAAGCCATTTGCTTTTGTTGCAGGCACTATATTAGGACTTACAGATGATGCAGGAGGCATTGTTGTTGTTGCTAGATTTTTATTCGAATCATAGGATACTGGAGCCGGCGTTTGGGATTGGTAAATCATTTGCTGTTGTTGTTGGTACTGTTGATGCTGTTCGTCAATCATGTCACCAATGGAACGTTTAAAATTACCTGTCAACAATATTTTTTTGATAGAAAAATAAACATTTATTAGATTTTTGTAATTTTATATTGTTTTTGTTGTAGCTGTTGTTGTGGTCATGCCACATTTTTGTCAACTTACCCGGACGATTGTTTAGATAACCTGAAGGGCTCAATGCATTCAATACGGCCGGACTATGTGGGCTCAAGGGTGCATCCAATGGTCCTCGATATTCTCTTTGTAAAACCAAACGAACAAAACGTTGTGGTTGTGTCAGACATTGGACAGCAGCATCATGTTGGGCATTTGTCATGTCATTGCCATTAATCTGATGTTGATGTTTGGAAGAGTGGAAGAAGAGGTGGTGGTTGTGGATTAGTTCGGTATGGTTATTTGAATGACTCGGAATGAATTGAAAATTTATTTGGTACACATGGAGAGAGGAAAGAGTTGCATAGAGACCCACACGGAACAGAAATCAAATTGTAATTGAAATCAATTTTAAAATAACAAACATTACGTTGGCATGATGGAAATTAAACAGACTAATTGGGACTACTTTCTAACGGGCCAATAGAGCTTTTAGAAGAGGTTTCTCATTATAGGAGACCAAAATATAATTTTCCTCTTTGAAGAGCCTGAGTTCATTTTTTAATAAATAAAGACCTTTTTTAAAAAAACGTTGTGTCTTCCGTATAAAATAGTCGCAGGTCTTCATTTTATCTCCAGGTCTTCTTTTTACAAGAGATCCGGGTCTTATACGTACACGAGCTCCAGGTTTATTGTCTTGTTCATTGGGGCCTCCATTCTAAAAGTGTTTAAGGTTTCTCTATAGAATACCTTGAGGTCTTGTTCCTGGAATAGTTTGAAGTCATATCTACAGAGGAGCCGGAGGACTTCTTCTTAATAGAAGAGTTTGAGATTTTCTTTCTATGATAGCTCGTCTATTTAGAAGAGATCCAGATATTCATTATATAAAAGCTCCACGTATTCTTTTTGAAATGCCTCCCTGTTAATTTAAAGAAGGATGCTTTCATCCAACTAGAAGAAGGTGGTCTTTATAGACGTGCTGGAGGTCTTAATTTTCTTGAACTGCTTGAGATATGATTCATGTAATAGTTTGAGATCATCTAGACGAATTACCCTCAGGTCTTCTTCATAAAACATCCTAATCCTAATGCCTCTCCATATAGGAGTTGAATATCTTCGATCCCATAGAATGTGGTAGTTTTTTCCGCATACAAGAGGAGGAGGTATTTTTCCCCTTAGACGAGCAGGATGTCTTTTTGCTCATAGAAGAACATGGGTATTTCCTCAAAAGAAGAACTTGATGTCTTCTTCCATAGAATAACTGAAGGTATTCTTCCTCTTTGAAGAGCTTAAGACCTCCTTCTTCTTCATGGAAGAGCTTAAGGTCTACTTCCACATAGAACAACTGAAGGTATTCTTCCTCTTTGAGGAGCTTAAGACCTTCTTCTTGTTTATAGAAGAGCTTAAGGTCTTCTTCCACATAGAACAGATAGTAGATTTGAAGGTATCTTCCCAATTGAAGAGCTGAGGTCTTCTTCAGAACATAGTTGAAAGTCTTTTTAAAAAAAAAATCTGGTAGTCTTTTTCAGGAAAGAGCTGGAGGTCTTCTTCAGAAAAGAGCTGGAGATCTTCTCGAAAAAAGGGGTGGAGATCTCCAGAAAAGAGCTGGAGATCTTCTCCAGAAAAGAGCTGGAGTTCGTTTTGGAAAAGATCTGGAGATCGTTTTAGAGAAGAGCTGGCGGTCCTCTTCAGAAAAAGCTGGATGTCTTTTTCAGAGAAGACCTAGAGTCCTCCTTCAGCAAAAAAACTGGCGGTTCAGAAAAAAAAACTGTAGACTTTTTCAGGGAAGAGCTGGAGGTCGTCTTCAGAAATAATTTGTAGCTCTTCTTAAGAGAAGAGCTGGAAATATACTTCATCTCTTAAGAGCTGAAGATTTTCTTCATAGAAAAAAGTAGGAAGCGCATTAAATAGACAAAAGTATTAATCATATAAGAGTTTTTCATAAAATAGCTGGAGGTTTTCTTAGCGAAAGAGCTTATGAAATTCTTCCATAAGAGTTTGAGGTATTATCCATAGAAGAGTTTTATGTCTTCTTCATAAAAGAGTTGCCTGTATTCTTTATAAAAGAGATTGATGTTTTCTTCATAGAATCCTTATGAATTTTTCATAGAAGAATTATACTTCATAGAAGTGTTTGAGATCTTCATGGTAGAAGAGCTGGATATCTACTTCATCACTGCAGGTATTTTTCCTTAGAAGAGCTTCAGATCATCTTCATAAAAGAGCTTGGGGTTTCTTCACAGAAGAGCTTGAGGTCTTCTTCATAGAGGGGCCGAAGGTCTTCCTTAATAAAATAACTTGAGGTCTTCTTCCATATAAGAAGTGCCTCTAAGGTATCTTCCATTGAGGATGTAAAGGTCTTCTTCCGTAGAAGAACTTAAGGTCTTATTTTCTATAGAAGTATTTTAGGGTTTCTTTCCCATAGAATAACTTGAGGCATTCTTCGACACACAAAGGTCTTCTTCCATAGAAGAACGCATGGTCTTCTTCCCCTAAGAAGAACTGGAGATGCTTTTGAGTCTTTACTCTTGAGGAAACCTTATTCATAAGTGAATCCAACGTCTTCTTTCTTATGAAAGAGCCCACGGCCATTACCATTATATAGGAGCTTAAGGTCATTTCATTGAAGAGTTGAATATCTTCTTCATAGAGCAGCCTATTAAATGATTTTTCTGATAAAAAAAAACTGAAAATCTTATTTCTCATAGAAGAGCTGGAGGTCTTCGTCTCCACAGAAAATTGGAAGGTCGTCTTCTCCGTGGCCTGAAATTCTTCTTCTACGAAGAAGATCTGAAGGTCTTCTTCTACAAAATAGATCTGAAGGTCTTATTCTACAAAAAAGATCTGAAGGTCTTCTTCTACAAAGAAGATCTGAAAGTCTTCTTCCTCAGAGAAGAGTTGAAGTTCTTCTTCATAGAATACCAGATCGACTTCTTATCATCAGAAGAGCCAGGATAGCCGATTTTTTAATTTCCCTCACACCAATTTGTGAATCCCTATTAAACAATAACTAAAACTACTTCAATATTGGTACCAGTAGTAGTTGCAGTAGTACTAGAACATATGGTTAGCTGAAGCACCATCATCGTCATTATATGTAAGCATTTTACCCATCATCGTCATCATCAGCATCAGAAACATCAAAGCCATCAACATCACGTACAAAAATGATTGCAATTTTACAATTAAAGTTCGAAAAGAATGAATGAGAATGCAGAGAGAAGCAAAAACAAAAACAACCATCGAAAATAGAATGAAAATTGCACAATGTTGCAATAAAGTCGAAATGACAGGCCAATAGACATATAGATAGACGTTTAAACAGACAAACTGACTGGGAGACAGATATACAGACAGACTATCCGCCCGACTGACTGACTCACTGACTGATAGACAAATAAATAGTTGGCCACCAACCATCGACTATGACCAGCCAGCCAGCCGATGGTCCAGAGGCCCGTACAGGTTTATTGTCGGACATAGGGTCATGATGCCTTTTAGTTTTATGGGCAAAAACGGAGCAGAATTTACCTCCCCCCAAGCCATAAAATAGATGTACAACGTCGGCGTTATTTAAGAGCACTGGTTCATTGAAATGGCTGCAACATTAATTTCCAGTTCAAATTGTGGCAACTGATGCTGGACAGCCAGCCAGTCAGCCGAACGACTGGCTGACTGTTGCATGCACATGGCTATCCTCTCTCCCCATGCAACTCTTAAAATACAATTGTGGTCATACTTACCGCCATTACACGGTCTCCCACCATTATTTTGCCATCGCGATGTGCCAGACTACCTTCAGTTATGCGTGAAATGAAAATACCATCACATCCATCTTTGTAGGGTGGTGAACCTCGTCCACCGGCAATGCTGAAGCCCAAACCTTGACCAATTTGATCGCGTATCAATGTGGTGTGCAGCGTTATATAACTCAATGGTCCATCCTGAAAATATGCAACGTACAAAACAAAAGAAAGAAAGAAAAAAACAGAAAATTAAATAGTGCAGAGCTACACACATACATAGATATATACATTGGGTTGGAAAAATATATCAATACAAAAGTAGGAAAAAAAAACTATCGCTATTTTTTACCAATGGAATGAAGCAAGACCCAACAATATGCAGAACTTGGTAGTTTTGATTTCGCTTCCGGGCCAGTTGTTACATTTTCATTAAGAGGGCAGATGAGAGGCCCAACAATTAATATACGACAGTGATTTTTCTTTCAGGGCAGATGGATTTCATGGCTTTCACTTTTTTCTTGTTCAGGACTGAACGTGAATTTAAATTGTCAGAATATATAATGATGGAGGCTATAGAGGCTATCATTCGTTTATCTACTTGCCAGAGAGTGATGTACATAATTAATCGCAAGGTCAAAAGTATTTTACACGACAAAGTTAAAAGGTCCTACTTTTTATAGAGATGCAGTTATTTGATATAGAAAAACTTTTTTTCTTCCTAACAGAGCTAGAGGTCTTCTTAATTGAAGAGGTGGGAGTCTTCTTCATAAAAGAGGTGAAGGTCTTTTTCATAGATGAGCTGCAGGACTTCTTTATAGAAGAGCTGGAGAACATCTTCATAGCAGAGCAGGAGGTCTTCTTCATAAAGAGCTGGAAGTCTTATTCATGGAAGAGCTGCAGGTCTTCTACGTAGAAAAGCTGGAGGTTTTCGTCATTAAAGAGCTGGAAGTCCTGGAGGTCTTCTTCATAGAAGTGCTGGAGGTACTCTTCATAGAAGAGCTGGAAGTCTTATTCATGGAAGGTCTCTTTCATAGAATAGCTGGAGGGCTCCTTCATAGAAGAGCTTGGGGTCTTCTTCATAGAAGAGCTGGGGGTCTTCTTCATTAAAGAACTGGAGGGATTCTTCATAGATGAACTGGAGGTCTTCTACATAGAAGAGCTTCTTTAGAGAGGAGCTGCAGGTCTTTGTGTGTGGAGGTATTCTACATAGAAGAGCTGGGAGTCTTCTTCAAATAAGGTCTCGAGGTCTTCTTCATTAAAAAGCCGGAGGTTTTCTTCGATGAAGAGCTCCCTCATAGAGGAGCTCAGGCCTTTATTACAGAAGACCTTCATAGAAGTGATGCATATATTTGTGTGTGGAGGTATTCTCCATAGAAAAGCTGAATGTCTTATTCGTAAAATAGCTGGAGGTCTTCTTCATAGAAGATCTTGAGGTCTTTTTCATAACAGAGCTGGAGAACTTTTTTAAATAATATCTAAAGGACTGTGTTATAGTAAAGCTTGAGTTCTTCATCAAAAAAGATTTGTAGGTCTCAGTTATAGAAGAGCTGTAGGTGGTGGTGGTATTTTTCATAGAAGGGCTAGAGGTATTCCCCTTCATTGAAGTGTGGGTTGTAAACAGCAAAGGGCTGGAGGTGATCTTCAAGAAGTGAAGATATTCCTCATAGAAGAGCTGGGGGTCTACTTTTCCATATAAAATCTGAAGGTCTCCTTTTTTATAGAATTTGTGACCTTGTTCGTCATAATATAGTTCAAGGGTTTCTTCTCCATAGCAGATCTGCAAAAGATAATAGAAATGCTGAAGAACTTCTTACCGATTAAAGTGCCGTAGGACTTCTTCGCCATAGAATAGCTGATGGTATTCTTTCTTATAGAAGGGCTGTGAGTCTTTGGAGTTTTTCTCCATAAAAGATCCGAAGGTCTTCTCCCCCATAAGTCTTCTTCACAAGGACTTCTTTCCCAAAGAAAAGCTCCTCATAGAGGAGCTAAAGGTATTCTTCCTCTCAGAAGAGCTGAAGATCTTCTTCTTCCTCACAGAAAAGCTGAATATGCTCTTCCTCACAGAAGAGCTAAAGGTAGTCTTCCCCATGGAAGAGCATGTCTTCTTTCTCATAAAAGAGCTGAATGTCCTTGTTGTTAATAGAATAACTCAAGGTCGTCCTTCTCATAGAAGAGGTGAAGGCCTTCTTCTTACTCATGAAAGAGCTGAGGGTCTTCTTCACCGCAGAATGGCTGAAGATCCTTCCTCTTTTTAATAGAAGAGCTAAAGAACTTCTTTCTCTTTCGAATTTTAAACTGTAAAGTCGTTGATTTTTTATTGTCGTTTAAGTACCACTTGTTTTTCTACAAAGTAATCCCGACCGTCTATATTGCTATGTTAATAAAAAATAACATTATTCCCCCCTTCATGTTGTCCTCCTCCCCTGAGAACTACTTAAATCTAGTCGTAATAGCACAAACTAAGTAAAAATCGCAAAACGTTCGTAGTACGTGTCAAACATTTAGCAAATGGGAAACTCTTTATAAACTCATTCCTTAAATGTTCCTTTAAAAAAAAAACTCGAGCAATTTTCTTGAAAATTTAAGATGAAGATAAAACGTTTAGAAGCTACAGCATGCATCTCGCTCTCAGCAGTATTTCAACAAGACATTCAATTGTTTTGTTATGGGCGGCGATTGTTACTTGTCGTCGTCGTTCTTACATTTTTTTTTTTTTTTTTTTTGTTCTTCTTCACTTTAATTTTATTTCCAATTTTTTATCAAAAAAAGCAGCATCAAATAATGAAAAAACAAATATCTGTTAAAATTTGCCAAGTGTAGTGAAGCGTGATCCACCAGTTGGTTGGATAATAAACACATAAAGTTTGCAGTTTGATGTTCGGCATTACATTTTGCTTTCTATTTTTGTACAATTGGCCCTGCGGACGAATAAGGAAAATATAAATACCACGAAAAGAGCGAACACGAAGCAAAATGGCAAAAAAAAAACAAACCTACAATTGTAGGTGTATGCCGACTGAAACCTACATGCGATTCATTCGACTGACAAGCTGGAAATGATTTCCACCAAAAAAAAAAAGGATAGAGGGAAAAATACATAAAAGTCCCCGGAGTGATGTATACGAACCTTGCCATTTTCGAAAATGCCGTTTGTAGAAACTGCACCACCTACATGTTGCTGTGGCTGTTGTTGATGTGGATCAGATACTGCTGCAGCCGTAACTGTTCCAGGAGTGGTAAATACATTTGCTTGATAAGCATGCTGTTGCTGAGCCGTCTGTTCCTGTTGCTCGGGCAGAATATCTAGAGGTGGTGGTATATAACGTTCATGATGTGTCACTGCTGGCTGTTGTTGTTGTAATTGTGTTTGTGCTGGCATTACGGCAGCAGCTGGCAAAGGACGTGTTTCAACGGAAATCTAAAAAAGAAAATGAAGAAACAGTTGTTAAAAATTATGATATATGATTATTATGATTATGATCAGAGAATCTGAAGATATTCTTCATAGAAGATCTGAAGGTATTCTCCACAGAAGAGCTAAATGTCTTCTTCATAGAAGAGCCGGAGGTCTTCTTTATAAAAGAGCTGCAAGACTTCGTTATAGAAGAGCTAGAGATCTAATTTAGAGAGGAGCTGAGCAGAGCTCATAGAAGAGATGAAGGTCTTCTTCTTCGATAGAAGAGCTGAAGGTATTCTTCTTCATAGAAGAGCTGAAGGTCTTCTTCTTCATTGAAGAGCTAAAGGTATTCTTCATAGAAGAGCTGAAGGTCTTCTTCTTCATAGAAGAGCTAAAGGTCTTCTTCTTCATAGACGAGCTAAAGGTATTCTTCTTCATAGACGAGCTAAAGGTATTCTTCATCATAGAAGAGCTAAAGGTCTTCTTCTTAATAGAAGAGCTGAAGGTCTTCTTCTTAATAGAAGAGCTAAAGGTCTTCTTCTTAATAGAAGAGCTAAAGGTCTTCTTCATAGAAGAGCTAAAGGTCTTCTTCTTCATAGAAGAGCTGTGAAGGTCTTCTTCATAGAAGAGCTGTGAAGGTCTTCTTTATAGAAGAGCTGTGAAGGTCTTCTTCATAGAAGAGCTTTGAAGGTCTTCTTCATAGAAGAGCTCTGAAGGTCTTCTTCATAGAAGAGCTCTGAAGGTCTTCTTCATAGAAGAGCTATGAAGGTCTTCTTCATAGAAGAGCTGTGAAGGTCTTCTTCATAGAATTTTCATCGATAGAAGTGCTCTCTTCATCGATAGAAGTGCTCTCGGTCTTCTTGGATAGAATGGATCACGGTATTCTTCATATCTGAATTAGAGAATTTTTTTATAGAAGATCTGGAGGTCTTATTTCTCACAAAAGAGCTGGAAAATATTATTTTACACAGAAGAGCTGCAAGGTTTCCTTCTTAGGAGATCTAAATGTTTTCTTCATAGAAAGCTCAAGTTTTTTCTTTATAGGAAAGCTTGAGGCCTTCGTCACAGAAAAGCTTAGGGTCTTCGTCAAGGTCTTCTTCACAGAAGAAGAGCTCAAGTCCTTTTTATTAATAGAAGAGCTCAATACCTTCTTCTAGAAGCGCTCCAAGACTTATTTTTAGAAGAGTTCAAGGTCTCCTTCATAGAAGCTCTTCAGGTCTTCTTCGTGGAAGCGCTAAAGAGCTCCAGACCTTTCTCTCTGAATAGCTCAAGGTCTTCTTCTTTGTAGAGCTTCAGACCTTTTTTTCTTCACAGAAAAACTGAAGGCCTCCTTCTTCATCCCTAATAACTGAGAATGGATTTTTCAATAGAAAACATTTACAAAATTTTCATATAAAAATCCATCTTTTGTTTTTGGGAATGATAAAAAAATATTCCTTAGTTTTCCCTTCAATATTTTTATGGTCCCTGCATCGTTGCCCATTGCACACCAATACATTTACATTACCCCCTTTTCATATATCACAATTTCAGTTTTAATAGTTTTTCCCAAAAAAAAAGTATTTTCCCCAAAAGTATGGTCATGCTTTTCTGTTACATACCTGTGACAATGAACCATCCTCACTGAATACGGGGTGGCCAATTAAACGTGTGACCTCACGTTGCACAACCAAAACCAAAACTGCACCACAGGCCTTCAACACTTGCACAGCCTGATAATGATCGGCATCAACAACGGGTATGCCATTTACACGGATAACTTTGTCACCAACTTTAAGACCGGCCAAATCGGCGGGACCACCTTCGGTGACACGTGATATGAAAATGCCATCATCATCGCCCTTGAACGGTGTTGAGCCCTTGCCGCCGGCAATGCTCAAACCCAGACCGGCCGAAGTGCGTTCAATGTGTATTTCATACTGTTCCAGACGTAGTTCGGTAACACCATCCAAAGTATCTGGAAAAAAGAGGAGAACAAAAACGTAGGGCAAAGTGAAAGTGTTTTGAAACGAGGGATAAATAGAAAAAAGAAACTAAATGGTCACCAAACTAAAGATTGAAAGTAAATAAGCCATATTTATATATATTTACATAAATATAAGTGGGATTTATAAAGTAAGGGGTGGTAAAAATTGGAAAAGGAATGGGAGAATGAAAGTAAATATTATGGTTGTTATATGCGCTCCTGCTGCTGCTGGTTCTCCTTCCATGTACGTGTTGAAAGTTCGTTTGAGTTTTTTGGAGCATGCAAGTCACGTTTCCCAATTACCAACTCCAAAAAGGCGTTAGCATGTGCATAAACAATTAGAAAATTGACATGACTTGTAGACAGCCTTGTCCACGACATGCCATGCCGAGCTACATACTTCCATACCATGGCACGACAAGCTATGCTCTGGATAGCTTTTATATGTATTAGTATAATGTCACATTCGATATTTGTGTGCAGGAGATGATGAGGCACAGTGGTGGGATTTCAACGGAAATAAAATAAATTTTTCTATAGAAGAAATTTTTAATAATCTGGAGCTTAAGGTCTTCTTCGTAGAATATGAGCTCAAGGTTTTCTACATAGAAGATGAAGAACTCAAGGTCTTCTTCATAGAACAAGAACTCAAGGTTTTCTTCAAAGAAGATGAGATCAAGGTCGTCTTCATAGAAGAGCTCAAGTTCTTCTTCATAGAAGATGAGCTCAAGTTATTCTTCTTAGAAAATGAGCGCAAGGTCTCCTTCATAGAAGATGAACTCAAGGTCTTCTTCATAGAAGAAGAGCTCAAGGTCTTCTTCATAGAAGAAGAGCTCAAGGTCTTCTTCATAGAAGAAGAGCTCAAGGTCTTCTTCATAGAAGAAGAGCTCAAGGTCTTCTTCATAGAAGAAGAGCTCAAGGTCTTCTTCATAGAAGAGTTCATTGTTTTCTTTATAGAAGAAGAGCTCAAGGCCTTCTAATTCATAGAAGAGGAACTCAAGGGCTTCTAATTCATAGAAGAGCTCAAGACCTTCTTCGTAGGCCACTTCGATATCCTTTTCATTGAAATTCATAGAAAAATATTTTTCTGCTCGAATGAAATCCTCTGTCCACTGTAAACAACATCCTCTGTACACACTCTCCCGCCGCCGAAACTTACCATAATTCCGGACACGTTGTTGTTGTTGTTGTAGCTGCTGTTGTTGATATAGCCTGTCATCTTCGGGCATATATGTGGTGACAATTCTTACACGTTTATCTTTACGTTTTAGTGAATTGCTCGGACTACGATTCGATGAGGCCAAAGAGCTACGTAAACTGGTTGTGGCAGGACTATTGCGACCGGTCAATATACCGCCGCCGCCACCAACACCACCACTACTTGTGCTAGTTATCGAACCGGCACGTTTACTTCGTGGCAATGTATTATTGCCTTCTTTGACTTTAATTTTAACATTGAACATGGTAAGCTTTCAATTTCTTTGGTGGCGATGCTCTGCAGCAGATTGACGTTTTAGTATTTTACTCACTTTCTCTCTTAGGCGGTATTTTTTTATTTCTTAGTTATTCATACGCTTTTTCAGGGGATTTGTTGAAATGGAATTTGTTTTTTTTTTTATTTATTAATCTTATTATTTGTGGATTCCGATTGTGTATCTCTGTTCATTTATTTATTTTAATATGGCATTGTGAAGAATTACAAACAAAAAAATTAAAATCTAGGAAAAAAATATTTGTTTCAATTAATTCGAAATTCGACAGCCTACTATGCTTATAGTAAGAGCTTTAAAATTTTAACTAAATTCAAAATTCTGTAATTTTTCTCGTACTAACTAAAAAACACTTCATTGGATGACGAGTAAATAATTCAATTTTTCTATTTGATTTGGGCGGCAATATGTTTTTTTTTTTAATTCTCTTATTTGGATTATTTGTATTTTTAATACAGATTTAAACCAACAAATTTCCAAACAGAAACAAAATTTAATAAAAGTCAAATAACATCAATAAAAAGAAAGCATAATAGCAATCATCAACACTATAGTGTACATGATTGCCAAAAGTCGATGTAGTTGTTGTTGTTTTTTTCTTTTCTTTTTTCTTTTTCTTCCCTTCACATACAACTGTTTAACATTCAGTGTTTGAAAAATGCAAATTTTTATTTTTTTTTTTATTCAATAAAATTCGAATATACTCGTTCGACAAGCTTCTAACACTTGCACGCAACGTTGTAGAGCAGAAACAGTTATAGCATAATCGAAACATATATATAACAAAATACAATAACAAGAACATTTTATTGAAATTTAAATACGATTTTTTTTGTAACAATGTAAATATGCGGATAAAAGAAAGTCTACGAGGGTTGGGTTGAGAATCGGTAGGCATTATTTTAGAAAAGTTTCAAAGTTTCGTATGTAACAAAAACGTATTTTACAAATTCAAAAATTTTACGGGTGTGGTTAGTTTTTGTAGAAATTCACTACACCTTAAAAAAGTGTATATCTGCTGGAAATTACAGATGAAACATGATTTAATTATCAGAAACAGCAAAGTCCTTGTCCATTTCAAATTTGGTCCACGTTTTTAAAAAAAAATTGGGTTCGAATGAACCTCGAATTTCTGCCGTTTTCAGAGTGTGGTGAGTTTTTGTATAAATTCAACACACCCCAAAAAGAGTGTTTTTATTCAACTGCAAATACTGGTTAAACGTAATTTGGTCTTCCAAAAAAAGTTTTGATCGACTTAGATCGACTACGAGTGTTTTTACGCAATTTTACGGGCGTGGTGAGTTTCTATAGAAATTCACCACACCTCCAAAAGAGTTGTAAATCCAATGGATATTAACGGTGAAACATTATTTATTCTCTACATATCAGACTTGGACAACTTAGTATTCGGTTCTATTTTTTTCGTTACAATTTTTCTCCTTAAAATTGTTGTACCACTATTTTCATAATATACAATTTAACCTTCAAATTAAATTACTTTTACAAATTCCGCAATTTTCCGGGTGTGGTAAGTTTCTATACAAATTCACCACTCCTCCAAAAATGTTACAAAGTAATAGAAAATGGATTGTAACAGATTTGGTGAACATTTTGGATCGATGAACAGTTGTCTAAATAAAATTTCTATTTCTGACCAAGAATTTCATCCATGGATCACCGTTTCTTCAATAAAGAGAGAGATTTTTTCCATTCAGAGGACTATTCTTCCTATAATGAATATTATATTTTTTATATTATTATTATTTTTTTTTTTAGAAAACGTGGTTTTAATGAAGGAAAATATTGGTCCATGATATACACGAATTTCACTCAATAGAAAAATTGAGAATCTCGAATTAGACCCAACTCAGATGGAAATTGTCTTGTTTGCTTAAAAATTTACTTATATTGGAAGTTTTCTGCCACTATATTTCGCAGCATTCAAGAACACAGAATGTCGAATTAAAACCACTTCAGATATAAAATGCAAACTGAGCGGGACATGTATGCCTGAAAAGTTTGCGCACCCTTCAAGAACCAGAAATTCAAAAGTGCGGCTGGAAGATACGGCTAAACCCTTCAAAATACAGAGAAGGGGCGGGAAGACCATGATAAGGGGTATGTTTAGACGGTATCGACATCTATCGTAGCCTAGAAACAACGCATCCTCACTTTGCAGTGGTGAAGTGCTTACTTATTTAGTGTTGCCACTTTCCTATGAGTGGCCTTATCTCATGACATTTTCATATGGCTTTGTCTTAATATGTTGATACCGAGATCAGAAATATATAGGCCAGAAAGACCATTAAGGTACCTGGACCACCAAGGGCAGATGGACTCTATGTTAGGACATAATCCTAGTCTGATAATTATTAATTTTTTTTTTTTTTTTTTTTTGTATACGGAGGATCCGGATTTGATAAAAGACTTACATTGGACACTTCCATGGCTTATATACATTAAATTTACAAATCTTGAAGCAAACCCGATTGTAGAGGAGCTACCCAATACCAAGAAAAAACCAGTAAGGAAAGTAGTATAGTCTGACGGGGCCGACTATATGATACCCTTCACCACTTTGAGTATATTCAACAGATGAATCCTAACAGAAGTCGCATTTTTAAAGGACCAGTAATATGAAATTGGAACCATAAACACGTCATTCTGCAACCGATACTAAATTCTTCATTTGGTCAGATATAGAAGCTATATCTAAATCTGAACCGATTTCAGGAAACTTAACACACATCATTCTAGACCTAATTTTTTACGCTGTGCCAAATTTCGTGCAAATCGAAAGATATATAGGGACTTTGGTGCACCATTTACATTAAATCTGACGAAAGTATATGTGGGAGCTATATATAAATCTGAACCGATTTTCAGGCAACTTTACACACATCATTCTAGACCTAATTTGCTACGCTGTGCCAAATTTCGTGCTTAAATCGACTCAAAAAGTGATTCTATGCATATTCTCAAAAGGAGTCTATCTCGATTATTTTTGCATGTTACAAACATATGCACAAAAACATAATACCCTGCACCAGAAAAAAGAATTTGGTTCAAGAACCTCAAAACCTGGGGGCTACCAGAAAAAATTGACCAATATTTATAATTTATAGTGGAGAGATGTGCTACCTAATAAGATCTCGACGTACTAAATTACAGTCAATTTGGTCGAAAATTCGATCAGAACCCCCAAAAAACCAAAAATTTTGGGGTACCGTTATATGGGTACTACCAGAAAAACTGGATCTATATTTATAATTTTTAGTGGAGTAATTTGGTACCCAATAAGAACCCAATGTACAAAATTTCAGCGAATTCAGTTATAAAACGAGCCCAAAAACCCGAAAATACCGAAAATTGGGGGTGCCCTTATATGGGGGCTTTCCGAAAAAATGGACCTTTATTTATAATGTTTGGTAGGGGGATTTGCTACCCAATAAGAACACAAAGTACCAAATTTCAGTGAATTCGGTCGAAAAATGCGATCAAAACCCCCAAAATACCGAAAATTGGGGGTAATCTTATATGGGGGCTATCCGAAAAAATGGACCTTTATTTATAATTTTTGGTAGGGAGATTTGCTACCCAATAAGAACTCAATGTACAAAATTTCAGGGAATTCAGTTAAAAAACGCGCTCAAGAACCTCAAAATACCGAAAATTTGGGGGTACCCTTATATGGGGGCTATGCGAAAAAATGGACCGTTATTTATAATTTTTGGTAGGGAGATTTGCTACCCAATAAGAACACAAAGTACCAAATTTCAGCAATTCGGTCGGAAAATGCGATCAAAACCCCCAAAATACCGAAAATTGGGGGTAATCTTATATGGGGGCTATCCGAAAAAATGGACCTTTATTTATAATTTTTGATAGAGAGATTTGCTACCCAATAAGAACTCAAAGTACCAAATTTCAGCGAATTCAGTTAAAAAACGCGCTCAAGAACCTCAAAATACCGAAAATTTTGGGGTACCCTTATATGGGAGCTATGCCTAAACGTGGACCGATTTTTTACAATTTCAATAGGGTTCGTCCTTGGGCCAATTAAGTGACCTGTGCCAAATTTCATCCAAATCGGATCATAAATGCGACCTGTACTTTGTTAACAAAAATACATGGACGGACGGACAGACGGACGGACGGACGGACAGACGGACAGACGGACATGCATAAATCGACTCAGAAAGTGATTCTATGCATATTCTCAAAAGGAACCATGGGTCTATCTCGATTATTTTTGCCTGTTACAAACATATGCACAAAGACATAATACCCTGTACCACAGTGTGGTGAAGGGTATAATGAGAATATAATTTTCAACTTCACACCCCCTGTAAGTTCAATGAACATTTCCAGAAAATTTAGACTTATTCCCATAGGATAGGCGTGCTTAAAACGGTCTAAACTACTTCGAATAGCCTAATATGGGGACTATTTAGAAATATTGACATCGTAAAAGATGTCCCTCAACTAAATTTATCGAAACCTTACGATTTGTAAGAAAATATAACCAAAATTAATATATCCACCATCCAATTATATCCTCAATGCTGAAAAATTATTTTCAGCAATTAGAATTTCATAACGTATAACAACAACCAACATTTATTATATTATCCGCCTCTTATGAATGCAACAATCATATATAAATTTTTCATATATATAATATGTTTATTCACACAAACTCGTACGTACACATGTCTGACAAACACACTTTCTCACACATATGCATAATTCGATAACTTCTAAGCCATACATATGAAATCCCATCAAGTGCATAATAATATTGTTATGAGTCTCTGTGTATATAATAAAAAAGGAGTATTCAGGCAGCTTCAACAGCAGCATTTATGTTCTGGCATATAATCTTGACTCTTTGCTTAAGGGAACCCCACCCATTCTCGATTTTAATTTTTCAAGATTTTCAATGGGCTGGTAAATCAATACCAATGATGGCG